ATTTAAAAAAAAAGAATTTTTGGACTTTTTCATTTATTTTTGCATTTTAAAATTATCTTTAGAATTGTTCTTATGGTCTCACAAAATTAGAATGGTCTCAAATAAACCTGAATATATATATATATATATATATATATATATATATATATATATATATATATATATATATATATATATATATATATATAGGATTAAGATCCGTTGAGCACTCATAGTTTCCCGAGAACCTGATAACTAAATGTGGAGCGTCGGATCAAAATTAACTCATTAATAACATGATCGTCATCTTACCAATCGTCTTTAATGTTTAATTTTTTTTTTTTTTTGTAATTATAAAGATTAATAAACAGTTCTAAAAACTAACATAATAAATCAATTTTCAGACTTTTTTTAAAATAATTTTCATTTTTTTTAATAGAGATCTCTTAATTTTTTCAGAAAAAATGATTTTTTTTTTTTTAAATTTGTTTTTTTTGAACTGCAATTTTAATTTTTATAATCTGTATTTTTTTTAAAAAAAACTACAATTTAAAAAAATAGCAATTTTTTTAAAAAAAACTACAATACAGATGTATATATCATGTAAGATGCACATGAGATTATATCATGTAAGATTCACATGTGACTATATAATGTGATAATCACATGTGATTGTATCTTTTAAGATTTAAATATAAAACTTAAAGAAAAATTGTAAAAAGTAAGTAACGAAGAAAACTCAAACGAAATGCATGTGTGCATATAAACATAATTCATATGTGATTTACATCTGAATTATATGTAATTCATATGTGGTTCACTTGTAATTTACATGTGAATCGCATGTAATTCATATGTTATTTACATGTGATTCATATGTGAATTACATATGAATCACATGTAATTCATATGTCAATTACATGTGAATTACATGTAATTTATAAGTGTTTCACTCGTGATTTACATGTGAATTACATGTGATTCATATGTTAATTACATGTGATTTACAGGTGAATAACGTGTAATTTATATGTGAATTACATGTTATTTACATATGAATCACGTGTAATTCATATGTGTTTCACTTGTGATTTACATGTGAATCATATGTAATTCATATGTGAATTACATATTATTTACATGTAATTCATATGTGTTTCACTCGTGATTTACATTTGAATCACATCTGATTCATATGTAAATTGCATGTGATTTACATGGGAATCACATGTAATTCATACGTGAATTACATGTGAATCACATGTAATTTATATGTGTTTCACTCGTGATTTACATGTGATTCATATGTGAATTACATGTGATTTACATGTGAATCACATGTAATTCATATGTGAATTACATGTTATTTATATGTGAATCGCATGTAATTCATATGTGAATTACATGTTATTTATATGTGAATCGCATGTAATTCATATGTGAATTACATGTTATTTACATGTGAATTACATGTAATTCCTATGTGGTTCACGTGTGATTTACATATAAACTAAACATGAGTGCTTTTAAGGATGATCAAATAAGTAACTTACTGTGCTCACAGGGAAACGAGATGATAGTTTCAACGAAGTACTCAAACACATAACTCTGGTAGTAAGATCCTATGTGTGGTATGTGATTGTACGTTCAACAACATCATTTTAAGTTACCTGTTCATAAAAACTCAAAAGTTATCAAATATATCATATGCATAATATGTTAATTTTCATAAGAAAGACATAAAGAAAACTAACAGTTATAACAATCAAATACACCAACAACATCATTTTCAGTTACATGTTCATAAAAACTCAAAAATTACCAAATATATCATATGCATAATATGTCAATTGTCATAATATGACTTATTTCAATGAAAAATTTTATAAAATTAGATCAAGGCATTGTCGCATTGCTGATGAAATCCACAAAACTAATGAATTTTAGGAATTAAAAGTTAGAGAAATGTCTAGTACCTAGAAATCTAAACATTGAGAAAAACTGTGAGTAGTAATTTTGCGATAGAGTTTGTTTGTCCCTATTGAACAGGTAAGTAATGAAAGAGCAACAATTAAGGATTATTTTAATCTACAACTACAAAAAGTTACAATTCATATAATCGATCATAGTAAGATATTTGTAAATCAATAAATCAACATTAACATCAAAATAAATCGGTCTTTATACTCTGATAAATACGATATCCTTATTCAATCAACAACTAACTAACGACTCCTTAGTCTCGTTTCAATGGTTTATTATATCTAGAAAAGAAACAGATCTTGATCTTACTAATGCAATAGTTTATCGAGGAGACATGATTACCCATAGGGCTACTTTACCATATAAAACTTAACTAGATGAAAAACAGAAGAAGAAACAGCAGCGCCTTGTTTAGTTGTACAATATATGTAGGACATGCAAATTAAGATAGTGAACTTAGCAAAGCAATAATCGAGCATAATGGAAGCTAGATTACTCCAGCTAGACAAGATCATGAAGCTCATAATCTACAATTTTGGTGATGCCAGATATTATTTTAGGGCTCTCCACATTATTGTCAGAAAAAACTTGTAATTGGAAAAACATCAAGTGTCAGTCTGTAACCACATTTGTTACACAGGCAAGAAAATAGGACAAGCTTTCTAGGACTACTTCTAATTGAGGGAACGAGATAGGCATTCATGTATTTTTCATAGACCACCTAGCTTTTAGAGAGTACAACAAAATACTTACAACTTCTTTAGTAGTATCTGACACCATGTTAACCAAATACCCCTTAGTACTTAAAACCATTCCAATCACACCTTCTTGTGCACCAGAGATAACTTTGACATGATTCTGTGTTTTCAAAGTACTTGCAGATCTCTCTTTCACTTATAGTAAGAGTTTTCTGCAAACCACAAAAACTATAAACAATTACATACCAGTTGTGATCTTCTCTGCTCAGTAATAGAGTTTCCAACCAGAAACGTACAGTAATCGATGGCCTATAACAAACAAAGTTAACTTGATTATGATCCATTACAATTTAGAACATAAATTTCATTTAATCAAAAAATGATTAAAAGAAATACCTCTTCTAACTCTGATAGCTATTGAATACAAAATAAAACATACAAACCATATTGCTATTGTATACCAACTTTGACATTTATATTGACATGATCTGCATAAAATTAGATATGATCTCCACAGCATTAAGCCAAACATTATCAGCTACTGTTTTTGGTATCGTTTCAAAGCTCTCTGCAAATTTTCCAACTACATATTGATCTAATATGAAAATATGTATATTATATTAATCAAATTTAGTCAAACAAAACAAAACAAAAACTAATCATTCAGATTACCCACCCTGTCTCCGAGAAAGAAAACTCCTTCAGTTTTCTTGCTAATTCAATTTTAGTGGCTGCAGCTCCAGGCACAAATCTATTGTCCTTACATAACGCCTAAAATAAAATAGGACGAATAAAAATATAATTTATCCAAACAAATGCATTTTATCTTGGAATAAAGAAGGTGGCCATCTTTTTAACATGTTTAGAATATGTTGAGAAAGACTTGATCTGTACACATGATTTCTTTTTTATGACAACTTAACAACAAAAACATTGAGTCCTAAAATTTTACCAAATAAGTTTTAATACAAACAGACAACACCATCGATTGATGATCAGTGACTATGAAAACTGAATCAATTGCAGATCTAGATCTGAAAGAGAGTGATGAAGACACATGTACGTAAGAGAGAGAGAGAGAGAGGGAGAGAGAGAAAGAGAGAGAGAGAGAGAGAGAGAGAGAGAGACCTGATGAGGAATGGTAATCTTTCGCATTTGACTTACCTCAATCTATCGACACAAGCACTGTAAGAACCAGGCGATTAATAGGAGATTAGGCTACAACATCAAAAGGCGAGGTGATGACAGGAGGAAGGATTGAGAGAATTCTAAACATGAATGACGAAACTTTGCAGTTGAATTAAACTATTGAAATTGAGAGCTAAATCGAATGGATTATGTTTCAAATTAGAGTTTGATCATATCAATTTTAACAATGAAGAACAACATCATGATTCAATGGTGATATCGTTCATAAAGTATTTAGAATCACGACAATAAATAACATATGAATTGATCTAGATTAATTCATGAATCAAGAAAGAAAATGTGATTAAATTGATTAAAAATAACAGTTCAGAGATGAACACGATCAAGAATTAGAAGCGCAATTAACAAATGATATGAATCCTACATGAAATAATGTTTGGGCTTGATCAAACAGACTATGAATCAGAGATATCTCAGTGTCTCGTCGATGTTTTCACCGGCAGAAGCGACAGTTGCCGATGGCGGAGCGGTGAAGAATGGAGATGTGTGTGTTGTGTGTGAGAGAGAGACAGATAGAGGAAAACAGAAATAAAGTATGTGAGTTAAAAAGGGAAAATGAGGTTTTATTAATTAATTAAACTGATTATTAGGATATTATATATTTTATGCCCAATATACCCCTCTCATCATTTTTAAAAAGTCTAGTATACCATTAAAATAATTGATATTTACAATTATGCCACTTTTGATCTAAGTCGTTAAAAGTTTTGATCTAACGATCCACCTTTAGTTCTCGGGTTCTCGGAAAACTATAAATTCTCAAATGATCCTTCCTCTTTCTTTCTTTCTCTCTCTCTCTCTCTATATATATATATATATATATATATATATATATATATACATACATACATATATATATATATATATATAGAGAGAGAGAGCAATGATCATTTGAGAACTCATAGTTTCTCGAGAACTCGAGAACTAAAAGTGGAACGTTGGATCAATTATTTGGATGGTTTAGATGATCAATGGCATATTTTGTAAATATGATTATCTTTAGTGGCATATTAGGTTTCTATAAACATAAGCATAAGGGTATCATTGGTAGGAATTTTTTTTGGAAATTAGATCATTCCGCCAAAATACGATCGATTATTTTTCTACCAAATCCATCAATTGTCTCACCCGATGACTCTCTTTCTTTTAGAGCTTCATCGGTGCTTGCTTCTAGATCAGATCCTTCCGCCTTCCATATCGGTGCCCTCTGTCTTCCAAATCAACGTCGGTCTCCACAACGATCACACCTCGTTGATTTTGGTCTGTTTCCTCCATGATTTAACGACGAACATGGAGGCACAAACCTCCTCTGAGCAACCCCTTTCAGAAAACGAAAAAGTGAAGTTACCGATCCATACAACTAATAACATTCTTAAATCTCTTCACCTTCTTCTCTTTGATGCTAGACGTAAATATATTCATAGCTTTCTCCATCGATTTCCTTTCTCACATCCATCATTCTGATTCTAGATCTATTAAGAGATTGTTCACTGTGGTTGGAGTTCTAATTATGTTCATCGTTGTTTTGTGGTGATAGATGAGATCGTGTTTAAATCTAATTTCTAGATATGTCCCTGTCTTTAGATTCTTTTTAGGTTTTTTGTGTGTCTAGTCGTGAATCGAATCATCATTCGCCTACTCCGCCAAATCGTTCCACTGGTTCATCTGGTAATCACCCCTAACCACAACATTTTCATTATATTCCTCCCTAGTTGACTCATGAAACTATAATTGTTATCAAAGAGAAGAAAAGGGAAGCAATCAAGCATTTGTGTGTGTGGATTGATTATCACCGATGTCGAGCTGATTTTCTCACTAAATTGCTTTCTGCTCTCCTCGTTAGAAACCACAGACCGGTTTAGTTTGATGTTGACGTTGATTAGACTAGGTTATTCACTGAAATTCGAATCATGTAAGAAAGCAGTATACAAGAAACCCCTAAAAAATTTCTCATCTAATCTCAAGATAAATCTTCGTTTTTCATTTGTGTTTTTTTTCATGTTTATTAACAGCAGTGTGATTTGGTACATGATGTGTGTAGGATGGAGAAGCTTATGCTTACCTGCTTAAAGTTCATGCACCAGAAGATTGTAGCCCACGCATATTGGATACCAAGGATCCGGCTGAAAGGGAAAATTTGGTACTCGAGCATGCAGAAAAATGGATTGCAAAAGATACTTGAATCCTAAATATATCGTTGAAGGCTTTGCAAATCTAAACCTTGCATTTGTTGCACATACAATTCAAGATTCACTTGGTAGGTAAGTTATTAAAAAAATCAAAATTTAAGTATATTATAGAGTAATTTACTTTATATTGACCTTTTACAAAATTAACCTGAGAAATTTCAAAATAAAACAAATGGAGTGATACCAAGAAGATGGATATATTACTGCAATCCTGCCCTCAGTAAAATCATAACTAAGTGGACTGGTGGAGAAGATTGGGTACTCAACACTGACAAATTAGCATAATTGCGTAAGGTAATAACTAATAAATTTAATTTTATCTTTCTTTTTTTCTATATATCAAGAGCTTTAAAATGAGTCCACTATTAATTATGATGTTTCAAATCTTGATTTTAGAATTAAGAAATGACTAATTACACATTGTAAATGTTATATTTTAAAATAGTACAATAATATATATATATATATATATATATATATATATATATATATATATATATATATATATATGTTAGTTTTATTTTTATAATAATATGATAATTTTTAATGTGATGTTTTAACTTTTAAGTGTGGTTATGAATAAATGATGTTTGTTTGGATAAAGACAAAGTCTGTGATCCAGACTATTGACCTTTTTTATGCAGTTTGCAGATAATGAGGATCTACAAAGTGAGTGGAAAGCTACAAAAAGGAGCAACAGAATGAAGGTTGTGTCATTCCTTAAAGAGAAAACAGGATATTCTGTTAGTCCTGATGCAATGTTTGCTAATTTCTTGTATTTCTTCTTGCATTTGCAGATTTGCTCTTGATATTGACCTTGATGCTCCAAAAATTAGAATTCTTATAAGATTAAATGCCTCATCAAAGTATAACAATCATTTTCATTTGGATTTGGTCATTTTACATTGAGGAAAGAGGTATAATTTAAATTTATCTTCGCGATATTTTCTGTCCCATCATTGATTTCTGATTCGGTGAAAAATAAACTAATCCATTAGTATAATAGATAAATGAAAATATAATTTTATTGAAGTATTTTGGTTACAAACTTTACATATGATTTACATGTGATTCACATCTAAATCACATGTAATTTACATATGATTCACATGTAAATCACAAGTGAATCACATATGAATTACATGTGATTCAGATGTAATTTATATGTGATGTAAATCACAAGTGAATCACATATGAATTACATGTGATTCACATGTAAATAACATATAATTCACATATGATTGACATGTGATTCATATTTTAATCACATGTAATTCACATATGATTTACTTGTGATTCACATGTAAATATGAATTACATGTGATGCACGTGTAAATCACAAGTGAATCACATGTGATTCACATGTAAATAACATGTAATTCACATATGAATTACATGTGATTCACATGTAATTCACATATGATTAATTTTTGATTCACATGTAAATTACAAATGAATTACCTATGAATTACATATGGTTCGCAAGTTAATCATATATGAATTATATGTGATTCACATGTAAATTACAAGTGAATCACATATCAATTACATGTAATTCACATGTAAATCACAAGTGAATTGCATGTGATTCACATGTAAATCACAAATGCATCACATATGAATTACGTCTATATGCACACACGCATTTTGTGTAAGTGTTCTTCGTTAATTATATTTTAAAATTTTCTTGTGAATTTCACATTTAAATCTTAAAAGATACAATCACATGTGAATATCACATTATATAATCACATGTGAATCTTACATGATATATACCTATGTATGTTATTGTATTAATCAATTTTTTATATTTTCTTGTAGATTTTGAAGAATTTTTGGAAAATACTAAAGAGGTGAAAAGTGATAAATTGAAGAAAATATGGAAATCTTGATATGAAGAAATGATAACAGTGTGAATCTTTGTAGTTTTTTATACTCCCTCCGTCCCAAAGTTATAGTCCATCTTTCCTTTTTAGTTTGTCCCAAAATAATAGTCCACTTCTAAAAATAAATAACATTTTTACCAAAATACCCTCTCATTATTACTTAACCAACTAAGAATTTAATGGAACATTTAATGCAAAGTAAGGACAAAACTGTCATTTTATTATGTAAAGTTAGTGGTAATTAATGTTTTTCTTAATCTGTGTGTTTTTTTTATCTGTGGACAATAATATTGGGATGGAGGGAGTATTTTATTTTGTATCGAATAAAATACTTGTATTATGTTTATAGATTGATTAATAAAAATGAGATTTTTTATAATTTACTTACGAAAATTATAGTATAAGAAATATACAAATATGCATTTGAAAAAATATGCATATATGCACCTAAAACGTTGATTTTTTTTCTTCAAAAAAATACAGTTTTGAAAAAAATTGCACTCTTTTTATAAAAATCGCAGGTTTTTTTTTTTTTTGAAAAAAATGTAGTTTTTCTAAAAAAAATGCAGTTTCTCTGAAAAAAATTGCTTTTTTAAAAAAAAAATACAGTTTTTTCTAGAAAAAATGTAGTTTTTTTTTTTTACAAATGCAGTTTTTTTTTAAAAAAATATGCATTTTTTAAAAAAATATTTTTTTTGAAAAAAATTAAAAAACTCAATTTTTTTAAAAAATCGAAAAAAAAAAAAATTTCTATAAATAAATACGAAAATTTGATTTATTTTGTTAACTTTTAGACATTTATATTAATATATTAAATAACACAAAAAAATTAAACATTAAATAAGATTGGTAAGATGACGATCATGTCCTTAACGAATTACTTTTGATACAACGCTCTACTTTTAGTTCTCGGATTCTCGGGAAACTTTGAGTTCTCAACCGATCTCAACCATATATATATATATATATATATATATATATATATATATATATATATATATATATATATATATATATATATATATATATATATATATATAAACTTGTCATGGACCTCTTGTGTTGTGGTATGTATTGATTTGATGAAATGGTTATAATATGTATTTATGCATATGACACGTAATAATTAAACATCTTAGTTTCCATTTTTTATATGTATGTAACTAATATATTAGTTTTAGAAATTGTTTATTTTTAGAACAAATAACAATATGAAAATGAAGACCATGTTTGAGGATATAGAATTCACCCCATGTTTCTATAAAGTTTTCATAATTTTTGTAAAATTATATAGTTTTGGACCTTGGAGTTGCCAAAGCAAGTGGGATGAAAAAATGCAACAAGTTGAAGATTTTTTGGCCCCTATGTTCATTAGAAATGACTTGGTATTTTTGTGATCGCTTAGAAAAAGTCACTATATGATTTGTTTATGCACATATGTTATAACATGTTAGTGTTGCTTAATTTATTTTATTGATATTATGTTTTATTTTTTAAATTTTGATTTCACATGCAAAGTAACTTTTTGAACACAAATAATATTGTATGGAGTTTAGATTTTATAAAATCTATCTTTTACATAAAATGTAACAAATTGTGGTTTTAAAATAAAAACATTTTTTCTCTAAAAACCTTAATAATTACAAATTTTTATGATTAAATTTTATAAGTTTAAAATTGAGATTTTAGAAACTTATCAAACTTCAAACCATATTTTATAAAATGAAGTTTTATTAAAATGCTTATAAATGTTCCTTACTGACCAAATGTCCACACTTAATACTAGTTATTAAATTTAAAATTTGATCGTGCCATTTGTATAAAATTTTGATTTTATAAAAGAACATTAAAATATGATTTTAAATAAAAGTATACCACGTCTTATTGGATGTATGCAATAACCATGATATAATATGTTTTCTAGACTAGATTTATAAAAACATCAAAGACCCTTTAAAAAATCTCAAATCTATGTAACCCTATTTGTATAGCATTGGCTCATTTCCTGTATATGCTAGTGGGATAAAGGTCACATAACCGCTATGCGTTATCTTTTGATGGAGATATAGATATTTAATATTTTAATTTATTGAGTTAATTAACATGTACAATCGAGTGGCTTTATATAGCCAAAGTTACAGCTATATGCGATAGACTAGGAATGATACTGGGAGAATACAACTGGTGTTGACTAAATATTTACACCTTAGTATCTATAAATATACAACAGATACAAACCTTATATTAGTCCTTAATACGCCCCCGCAAGATGGAGGATCCGTCAGATACTCCAAGCTTGGAATGAAGTCGGAGAAACGGAGCATGAGTTAATGGTTTGGTGAGAACATCAACCAGCTGATCAAAGGAGTTGATATGTCTAACGCGCAAGGATCCATCTTGAACTTTTTCTAAAACAAAATGATAGTCCAAAGCTACATGTTTCATTCTAGAATGATAAAATGGGTTGGCGCATGAGTAGGTAGCTCCCGTATTGTCACAGTAGAGTGTTGGCTGATGTGAGGATGAGATACACAAATCTAGTAACAGGTTTTTAACCCAAGCGATTTTAGAGGCAACATTTGCAAACACTTTGTACTCTGCTTCTGTGGAGGGCCGAGAGACAGATTTTTGGCGGGCCAATCTCCAGGAGATTATGTTGGAACCAAGGTAGAGAATGTAAGCAGTGGTTGTAACATCCCGGAATCGCAAGAGTAGAGTTGAAGGGCTAAAAGTGTAAGTTTTGGAGGGCAACTCGGCGAGTCCATGGATGGACTCAGCGAGTCAAGTCGCGACTTTGGTCGCGTGTCAAGTGGCCTACTCGGCGAGTCCAAAGATGGACTCGGCGAGTAGGTGCTGAGTGGAGAAAATCCTAATTCTCGGGGTTGAGCCCTATATAAAGAGCATTATGTTTCCTCCCCAGCCTCTTTATCACCCCCTTGAGTCCCAGAAACCCTAAAATCATGGAGAAGCACCATTGTTGAGTGGATTGGAGGTTGGAGAAGTAATTGTTGAAGAAAGTTTGGAAGTTTGAAGATGTGGAGCAAGGGGCTTTGTTTGGTTTTGAGTTCCTTGCAGATTGGGGCATCCTTTGAAGGTAAAATCTTGTTCTTGAGCTGCTATTGTCTAGATTCTTCACTTTTGGGGATGTTGAGATCACATCTTTTGGTGTTTTGGAGTCTAGAGGTTAGATCTGAGGTTGCTACCTCAGATCTGGAATGGAGAAGGGTTGGAATGCCTGAAAGTCCCTGTGATTGAGTATGTAGTGCAGCTATCTTGTCCCAAACCTTAGCCCTAATGTGTATAATGCCTAGATCTTCATGGATTCACGTAAAGTTTGCCACTTTACGTGATGGATGGGTTGTAGGAGGCTAGATCTATGTTTTGGATCAATTGCATGGCCTGGGATGTTTCTGTATCGATTCAGACCGGTGGTACTCGGCGAGTCACAAGGGTGGACTCGACGAGTTGCTTGAAGATGAGCTGGAACTCGACGAGTTGGATGAACAACTCAGCGAGTAGGTTGAAGATAGCCTTAGACTCGGCGAGTCTGTTCTTGGACTCGGCGAGTCTTGTCAAAGAGTCCCAATAATTTCTGGTTGAGTCGAGAATCGGTGAGTCAAGGGATGACTCGATGAGTTGGGTGCGAGTAGACTCAGAGTGGTTGGACTCGGCGAGTCTCGGGGTGACTCGGCGAGTCAGGTCGAGGGAAGTTCTGAACTTGGGGACTCGGCGAGTCATGGGGTTGACTCGGCGAGTAGAGTCAGTCAGGGGTTGACTTTGACCTTGTCCAAGGGTTGACCAGTTGTCTTCCAGGGGTATTTTGGTAAATTCTGGTATATATTGAATTGAGTGTTTTGGTGTTCAGTGGAGGAGTTCGTATCGGAGTTCGGAGCAGCGGGATCTTATCCTTACAGCCGGCAGTT